GCAGTGTGAAGATGTGTGTTTGAGGTTACCTCTCAGCAGAGGAAGGCTGAGTGTGATTCTCTGAAACTCCAGGTGACGGGCAGCTCGAACACCTGGAGGGCCCAAAGCCATGAGCGCTGCCTGCAGACAGATGTGTCCTGGGAGCTCTCAGCTGGAAGTGTTGATCCCCACGACTGAGACGGACCTCCACACCGAGCTCCGGCCTCCATTTATCACAGCCGAGTCTTGGCTCAGCCGAGTGACACGCTGGGACTGCGCCTGTCATCCAGGCCATACATTATGTCAGTTAAAGCTGTTTTTTATTAGCTGGATGATAGATAGTTCTTTAATTGTTTTGTTACTTTTTTTTCTCCTTGTGTGAAGCATGGACTTGAACGTGGGAACGTGTGGATTCGGCTGCTGCTGTTTTTGAAAAGAAAAAAGGTTCTGCAGAGTGAGTTTGCGAGCTTTCTGATGATGTGCAGTCAGCTGAGGAGCATCTATGGTTTTAATTGAACGTGATATACAAATTTTTTCATAATTGCGAAGAATGAACTCAAACACTAAAAAATTTATCCTGACCTGTATCAAATGCTGCAGTTTGAAAGAGTTGACTCCATTAGTTTTACAGATATACTGAAATATGGTTCTACATAATAAACTTGGCTGAATCAGCCAATAACAAAGTGGAAGTTTGAGTTTGATTAATAAACGTTATGCTGACCATTAACGGGTGCTGCTAAACAAATATGGTGGATTTAGACAAATGCAGACCTCAGTAAACACATTTAGGTGGACATATTAATGAATCTGATGTTAAATGCTTAAGAAAAAAGAAAGATTGAGTAAAACAATTAAGACTAAATATTTGGAATCAAACATACAACTTTTATAACCTTCTTCTATATCAGTAAAGCTCCTGTTTCAACCTTACCTACCTTTATATCTGGATTCTTTACAAATATGAGTTCCAACATACGAAAACTGTCAGACTTATCCATCCCAAACAGCCTTTAATTGTTAAACTATCTTCGTTAACTTCATCTGTGTCTGTATCAGTAATGTGGTAGTTGGCATATGGTCAAAAATTTGAGTTAAATATTTAAGTTAAGAACACATTTTTTCATCGATATGAGAAATATATTGTGCAGATTGTGTTTCGTGGTTTATTAATTTTGTTTCCCTGTCTTCATGACTTTGGAATAGTCCCTCGTTTATCGCGGGTGATTCGTACCCTGACGCCCAGTGATAATTGAAAAACCGCGAAGTAGGAATAGTAGTAGAAGTAGTACATTTATTTTAGTATTTATGTATATTAAGGCGTTTTAAACCCTTCCCCCACTCTTGCAATATTCTAAACAATGTTTCTAAACTCTAAACGCTCTAAAAGAGCGCAGCATGTCATGATTTCAGCTCCCTGCCTCCGCTGCACTCTGCCACCTGCCACTATTGGCCACGCCCACTTCTCTGCAGGAGCTTCTCCTGCAGTTTGGGCTGCACACTGGTGCAGGAGGAAGCTTTTTACACAGGGCTGCACACACGTACTAAATAATTTAAAATAATTCATTTTAAATAAAAATTCCATGCTGAACATGCAGCTCATCCATCAATCAGCCAATTGTGTGTCATGTCCAATCTTATTTTGAAAAACTTTAACTCTTTAAAATCTGCCAACCCGTTGATCGAGTTCTTTGTAATATACAATTTTCTTTTTCTTATGCTGAGGACGAAAAATTAATCTGCATTTTCACCAGACTACTACCGCACATAAGCTTGCTGTAGGAGACATATGACCAGGCGTGTATAGAACAACAGAGCTCAAGACTCATATAAACCAGTATCTCAAACTGGGGTCCGCAATTTCTTTTCTTTTTACGAGCACGTAGATGTTTAACAACCTGTTAAATTACACCAAAATGCAGGAAATCGCATCTACTTTATTCAACATTTTCTGGGGGAGGACCCATAGACCCCCCCCACACCCCACCTGCTATTTGCATTCTGGTATCGATTGGTTTACAAATTAAGCCCTGTTACTTGGTCTGACTACTGCAGTTATGATTCTGTTCAGTTTTATGTAGTTTTCTGTAATAATTTGAAGAATTGTTGATACATTTATTATGTTCATTATGTGAATAGGTAAAGTTTTAAAGTGGTTTTTGATTCTGGTTTTTTTTTTACTGTAATTGTTGGATGTTGAAATTAAAAAATTTGTTAATTGTGTCTTGAATGAATAATGCCCCATGTTTAAAATGATAAATATTAAAGAACATAAGTATTTGTTACACAGATATTTCCATTGTATTAAACAGACAAATTGAAGATTTGTTTTTAATAAACATGAGGGTTATGAGGGGGTCCCTGAACCCAAAAAGTTTGAGAATCCCTGATATTTTTATGTACTTTTATTTTGAATTGTTATTTTTGATATACAGTAGGCTACACGTTCATTTTGTGTTTTTTGTTATAATCTTGAAACGTTTATACGAGAAAATTTCCATTTGACGTTATTAACCTTTTGATAGCGTCTCAAACCTGAGAAATCAGATGATTTTTTCAAGACTTAATTGTAGTTCCCTGACAGTTCACACTGCTCTATTGTGTAATTTGTGTCCAAAATCAAACTTTTAGGAAAGCTGAGGGATAAAGGCCAAATCAAGGGATTAGGTATAATATGCTTGAGAAGCTTAACAAAATTAGTTTTTATTATCAAAATGGTTATTTTTTTAAACAGCTGAAATGTTTCAACTCTTCTGCACATGTTTCATTTTCTTTTGCTGTCCTCTATGCAGTCGTAAATATGTTCATATCCTCCTCATAGTTTGTCCAAGCACGTAGCAGTTAGTTTTCTCTGTAGGCAGCTGTAGCAGCAGCTACTGGGTTGATGGGAAGCTGCAGAGCAGAGCGACTTCCCTCTCAGCTGCTGCAGAAACAGCCTCATTTGTCTATTACAAGTTCAGCTTTAGCTTCAATGCTTTCCAGATGTTACAGATGTTATTACCACATTATTGCTGCTGGTTGAGCCCCAACTGTGAAACCAACCACGACAAGCTCGACCTCGGTACCAGCGCTGGAAGAGGTTGACTCAGTGTTTTTTTTGGCGCCGAGCCGCTGAGGTCTCCGAAGGTTTTCACTGATTTATTTAGGAAATCTGAGAATCCTGCTCAGAGAACATGAAGATTTTCAGTAGCGTGCAAAAGTGGCAAGCTTTTCACTGACTATGAATCCTCAGTGAAGCGTTAATGTGGTTTTAATCATTTTATAAGAAACAAAAATTTCTAGACTAACATGTTCACGTCCACAGCTGTCTTTAAACATCATCACATCTTCAGTTATTCAATTTCAGTTCATTAATATGCAGCCAAATCATAACACAAGTGATCTCAGGACATGTTAAGGTCTTTCAGTGGAATGATCGATAACATCTGACCCCAGAGACCAGCTGACCAGAGTCAAACTGATCCACACCCGTTTACATACACAATGACAACTAAACCATGCGATGATAGAAATTATGAGAGTTTAAAGTTCCTAAAAAAGCTACTTAAAGGGTGTGTAAAAAGATTTATTTTGTCATCAATTTGGCCTGGTTGCTGTTTTAACAGCGTCAAGAAAACATTTACTCACATGTGAAACTACCACACATTTTCACAAACTTCTCAAACTAAAATTTAAACTCATGAATTCGTTAAAAAGTTGTTAAGAACTTGTGCAGAACTTCTGTTCACTAAAGAGCACTTCTGCTGCAAGAAGACATGTTGCATAAAAGTTAAACCACACCTTTTTTTTTCCCCACCCCAGTGTATTCTCAGACTAATTTTTTTTAAATAAAAATAAAAATTGCACTATTTTTAACTAACTGCAGAACTGAATTCATTACGGAATCGTGGAGCTTGAGTCAAAACATTTTAATAGTTTGTAACCTATTTTGCTCCATTACAATAATTACCTTTATGTATCTCTGAGGGACACACTTAAGCAGTTTGTTTAAAGCTGCATATAGATCAGGGCTACTCAACTAAATTGCTCAGGGGCCACAGTTACTGAAAGCCAAGAGCCCAGGGACCAAACATTCAGCAGTTATTGTCATTAAGTATGTTTGTTTTATGGTTTAAAATCTAGTTTTATTTAAAAATGAACCCATTCGTGGGGCGAGGTAGGGCTCACCCATGGGCCTGATTTGGCCCCCGGGTCCCCTGTTGAATAGCCCTGGTTTAGATCAATAAATTTAGAAGAAACAAATACTCTATCAATAAGGGTAGCAATTGCTGAATGAGCACTACTCAAAATTAAAATGATGTCTTGTACCATTACTGTAAAGTAGTACTCATACTACTGTTTACATTTGCACTACTGTTTTTATTCATACTACTGTTTACATTTGCACTACTGCTTATACTCACACTGCTGCTTATATTACACTACCGCTGATATACAAATATATTTTTTACTAGTCTTATTGCATATGTCACTTTACCTACACCAATATCAAGGACTTCATACATACACTGTGTACATTCACTTCATGTGCTGCTTTGCCACTCACTATCAACGTCAGGACCTTCATTTCATTTCATTTTATTTTATAGATATACTTCTTTTTTTAATATTTTTATACCGAATAGTACAATTTAAGACAGTATCATGCTTTTATTATTTCATTTTATGCTTATGTTTAATAAATGTTTTAATGTTAAATGGTTATTGTTGCACCGGGGTCTGACATAAATGTAATTTCAATCCTGTGTATGTCCTGTACATTTTGCAACTTTAGACAATAAAGTGACTTTGACTTGACTTTGATTTAGCAGTGTTTGCTTATTCAACTTTAATAAAAGTTTAATTGGAGGATAAAAATTGTGTAATGAATAGCGTACATTTAAAATATGAATTTAACAAAAAGCAGCTCTTTAAACAGTGGCATATGCAAAGCAATTTAGAGTATTTCCGGTCATTCTAAGGATAAAAATGCATCCTGTGAATTCTGGGTAATGAAGTTTTTCCGGTTTGTTGTTGTCACGTGTCATTAGTTAGCGTTAGCTGTAGCTTGTAGCGTTAGTAGCCGTATTAACGAAGAATAACTCGTAAATATGATGAACGGGAAGACGGTAATAGTGACCGGAGCGAACAGCGGGATAGGGAAAGCCACGGCAGCGGGGATTGTGAAGCTCCAGGGCCGGGTGATCATGGCCTGTCGGGACCCGGACCGAGCCGAGGAGGCGGCCCGGGACATCCGGCAGCAGACCGGGGCAGACAGCGCGCAGGTGGCGGTCAAACATCTGGACCTCGCGTCGCTGAAATCCGTCCAGACTTTCTGTGAAAATATCATAAAGGTAGTCAGATGGCTCGCTCCATGAAAAACAAACACGCAAACAAACAAAACTGAAGTAAACATTAAAACAAAATGTTATATTTTCAAATGTAATTTAGCATCATTTTACTTTATTTCAAACACAATATCATAACGCACTACAAAATACAGTAAATAAATGATGTAAGCTTTACATTTCATAAAGAAAAATGCATCTTTTTTTCTTAAAACAAATACAGAATAAAAGATTTATAAGTAAAATGTATTTAATAAACTGGGACTATTATTAAAGCAAACATCTGGCTTGACCATTTTGGAAACTGAAGCAATATTCTAAATGCACATATTTACATATTACTTTATGCGTAAGGTAAATAAGTTATAAAAAATCATTCATACTGAAAAGCCACCAAGAGTTTAAAAAATATGTCCTTATTGTAATTAAACCACAATTTAGTGAGCTATGTAGAAGCTATACATCACTGTGCCTATTATTATTTTTGTTGCCACATATTGGCTTAAAAATGGTTCAATGGTATATCAGTTTATTTTCTTTAATGTCAGACAGGCATTTCCTTACAGTTTAAATAATCTATTAAACAAATTATAAGCTTTTATTGTCAAATAAATATAAGAAGCACTAAGCTTTACCTTACTAATGGTTCATATTTCTAATAGTACTCTGTTCACAAACTGTACCATATGTACAGCATGTACTGTAATGGCTGCTTTATAAGCTTTGTGTCTTAATAAGCTGCATCAGATGCAGCTGCAATACCACAACTTGCCCTTAAACTGAAGGATTAAAATATTCTCTACTGTCAGTAGTTGGTTAAGATGAGGCTGTAACTTCATTCTGATCTTCCCTCCAGCTGCACACTGCAACCCTCACTGGTCTCCTTTGTGCTGTTCATCAGGAGGAGCCTCGGTTAGATGTGCTGATCAACAATGCAGGAATCTTCCAGTGTCCTTACACCAGGACAGAGGATGGCTTTGAGATGCAGTTTGGGGTCAATCATTTGGGTCATTTTCTGCTCACCCACCTGCTGCTGGACCTCCTGAAAAGCTCAGCCCCCAGCCGGATCGTGGTGGTCTCCTCCAAGCTCTACAAGCATGGTGAGATTAACTTTGAGGACCTGAACAGCGAGCAGTTCTATGACAAAGCCTTGGCCTACAGTCGCAGCAAACTGGCCAACCTGCTGTTCACCCATGAGCTGGCTCGTCGCCTGGAGGGCAGCGGAGTGACGGTGAACGCTCTGACTCCGGGCATCGTGAGGACTAATCTGGGGAGGCATGTGCACGTTCCAGCGTTAGCTAAGCCCCTTTTTAACCTGCTCTCCTGGGGGTTGTTTAAAAGCCCAGAGGAAGGAGCTCGAACCTCAGTGTATCTGGCCTCCAGCCCAGATGTGGAGGGTGTGCAGGGAAAGTGTTTTGCAGGTTGTCAACCTCAGGTTCTTCTGGACAAGGCCACAAGCCAGGACCTGGCGTCTAAACTGTGGGACATTAGTGAGGTCATGGTGGGAATCACTACGTGAAATCTAAACTGAGTCAAGCATGCTTATAGACTAACGGGGTATTGTTGTAGGGAAATGACTGAGACTTTAAAATATGCAGTGCCTTTCTCTGTAAAATAATAAATATTTGTTTTACTTCCAGAATTAGCAGCAATGGTGCCGAAAGATGGAAATGTTTCCAGGGCTTCACAAAACAGAGAAGTCCAACCCACATGTTGGATTTATTGAAGCTTATTACAAAGTTTAGTCATTTGTTGACAGCTGTCTGTGTTTTAGTTTAGTGCTTGTTTATTTACTTATACTAACCAGGGACTTTGTATGTGATACGTCTACAAGTAGAGAAGCTTTATCATGCTGGAACATGATTTATCTCTGGTCCTTCTGACACAGAATTGTAATATTTTAGAAGTTTTAAGATGAAATTTTACTAACTTGGTTAGTGCTGCAGTGTAAAGAGAAGAGACTTTCTTCTGCAACCCCTTTAAACAACTCAAATTTGTTCTGTTTTTTTTTTTTTTTTCCCCCAACTTTCACCTTTAACCTGCTAGTAGAGTAAGATTGAGCTCTTGGGTTTTTTAGGCATTGCACAGTCTGACTTTGGGGTGAATATGCTGGGATGTGCACTCCTAGGAAGATTTCTCTTTTCTTTAAAATCACGTTTTTGGATGGTTAAAAACAGCTAAGCTGACAAGCTAAGCTAACAGGCCAACCACGGTGGAAAAAAACCTAAGTCTTGTCGAAGCTCCAAAATTCAAGGTTGAATCTTTTGCCTTTTGTCTAAAAAGTGTTTTTTCCTCTGCAAAAAGAAGCTGAGAACTTGTTTACTGATTTTTTTTAAATTAAAAGCTTTGTGTGACAAATGTTATGCTAAAAAGCTCAAACCACACCGAGCATCCGCCATTTTGAGATCTGAAAAACAGGAACGACAGCCCATGTCACGTCGAGGGGCCTCCCTCCCATTTTTCTTAAAGAGACACGCTGCTCGCTCCTTCACTATCCATCCTTCGGTTCAAACAGTCTTATACTGCCATCCAGTGGTGAAAAGAGGTAAATTCGACAGTAATTACTAATAATTGTCAAATTTAAAACAATAATATCATTTATCGCAATAATTTCTGAGACAATCGCCCAGCAAAGTTTGTTATCGTGAAAGGCCTATTGATTGATGGACTCCATGCAGTTTGGAAAATACCTTTACCCTTTTTAGATTAAAAGGTAGCAACAGTTGCTTCACTGGGGTAAATGCAGTATTTGTGGAAACAGAAGAGCTACGCTCCCTTCCTTTATTAGAAAACATACGTCACTGACCTGTAGACATGTACAACCTCTTTAGATTAATTTACCTTTTTTCCCCAGACATTTTGATTTGTAGAAATGGATATGTTGACTGACAAAAGGCTTAATCCACGTTGAGGAAGTTTAGTCATTTACAGACAACCCACAGAGTGACAGGGTTGTGATTGTGGTAGTTGCACACTTAGAATATTTCTTTAATAAAAAAGTCAGACAAGAGCTGCTCTGAAACTAAACCAACGTCTCAATGTGCATCATGTGATCAAGATATTCTCTAGTGATGAGCTGCTGGCCAAATGGTGAACACGATATCACTTAAGCTCTCGAATCAGGTGCACATAATAAAATAATGCTCATTGACGTGCTTCATTAACAGAGTTCCTCATTTATACACTCCCCCTAGGAGTTTGGAGGGGTTTGTGTGTGGCGGGTCAGGTTCAGACATCTTTTTTGCTGAGGGGTTAGTTGGGCTTCAGTCAGCCATACTGGTTGCTCTGAGATTGGTCATTAACTGGGAATGTTTATCCACCAAGTCACCCGCAAACAAAGCAGAATGGTAGCAAGACCTCCAGGATTCAGAACTTTCCCACCTGTATTGTTCATTAGAACATTTTCTGGATCATTTATGGGGAGCTGAAAACACAAAGGCAGCCACTTTATCATATCCATCTCTCACACAGGACTCCCGGGGCATTTTTAAAGCAGCTCCAGTCTATTTATTTTACTAATGGCTCCAATTAGTGCAATTACAAAATTTGATGTTCTTAATGGCCACTGTAATATTGAAAGGGCCTCGAATGCTGATCTAGATGTGGGTGCTTCAGTGAGGCTACTTGTGCTTTAAAGATCCAACACATAATGGTTTAATTAAAAGTGCATTAATTTAGTTTTTTCCTGTGCTTCTGTAGAAGGGGCCCTCATCAAATTGCAAACTGAAACAATTATAAAGTTGTTAGTATTAGTAATAATTGTTTCTCCTTTTTTACATTTTGGAAAACTGAGTTTTAGTAATTGTTATTTATTGTTTCCATTATAATTTTACCTTAGTGCTTGCATAATTTGTAACAATGTCAAGTCAAATTTATTTATAAAGCACATTTAAAAACAGCAGCCATCACCAAAGTGCTTAACAATAAAAATCAATGGCAGTAATTTGAAGAAAAAAAAATACAAAAATGAATTAAAAGCATCAAAAGAAAAACATAAAAACATGAAACAATAAACTATTGAGTCAAATCACAATGTGTTAAAAGTCAGTGAGAACAGATGTGTTTAAAAGAGATTTAAAAACAGGAAGTGAAGTGGCCTATCTACTGTTGGGGGTGTCACAAATTTATGACTATTACAGCGTTTAAGCATTTTCTGTTTCACTTCTTTTACCGTTTGACACAGATATGGTGTACGAGTTTGATTAAAATATTAAATAACTTAATTATAACTAAAAACATGGACTTTTTTTGTGCAAAAATACAGTGTGAATGCTGAATGACAGCTGACAAAGCTGAGATATTAAAAGCCAAAAGAAGCAAAAGCTAAAACCCAAAAGTTGAAAAATGCTAGCTAAAATCAGGAAAATGTAAGCTAAAAGTTTCAAAAGCTTAGCTAGAAGCTAAAAGATGACAGAAGCAAGCTAACGGCTAAAATTAACCAGAGGACAAAAAAGGAAGCAATTAGCCATCCATCCATTATCTTTTACCCGCTTCTTCCATTTTGGGTCACGGGGGTCGCCGGTGCCCATGTCCAGCAATCACTGTGCGAGGGGCGGGGTACACCCTGGACAGGTCGCAAGTCCAGAAGCAATTATAAAAAAATAAAAAGATCTTTTGAAAACTGTATGAGTTGCAGAAACTAAAAGTCATAACACCCATTTCCTGAATGAGCTAAATGTTTTGATATAAGAACAGCTAAACAGTGGCGCAAGGTATGCAGAATGTATTAGACTGCAAACAAGACGCAGCAACAAAAGGGAAAACAGTCTGTTAATGCTGACTCAGCATTAACACAACAAAGACAAGGAAATAAAATCAGTTTGTTGTGTTTTCATCAAACTGTTAAATGTGACACCGAGTTCTGTTTTCTAAGCGTTGGGTCCTCAGTAGGGGTTGGCGATATCTCGATAATTTAAAAATATCGAGATAATTTCATTTGCGATATAAGATGAGAGTATATCGATATAACAATATAGTGTTATACTTGAAAACCCGTCTTCTCTTTCTCCCATGCGGCCCCACCTCTCCCTCGCAGCCCAGCCCCTCACCCACTCCCCCGTTTTCTGCTTTTCCAGGTACGACGGAACGTAGCATTTGCAGAGCAGCTTGTGAGCAGGGGGGAAAAAAAATGGCTGTGTTATTTGGAGATGGTTCAGATTCAATTTGTCAGATGTGCAGCAGAAAAATTGTTTTCTGTCGACAATGCCGAAAACAAGTCCCAACGAAAGGTTCACCATTTAAAACACAGTGCTATAAAGTGGAGTATGAAGCATGTGTTAAATGTTGTGCTGCAGCTCGAGCTGTGAAGTCTTCCCAGCTTCCTTCCCTGAAACAAACTACGGTACCAAACTTTTACCTGTGCTGTACTGTACGAGATGAACAGTTAGAGGTAGCGTGACATTAATAAAGCAACAGCTTTTATTGCTAAAGACATGGACCCAGTCTCAACTGTGGAACAAGACGGCTAAAGTTAGCCGTCTTGTTAGCCACTAAGGACCGTGTCGTTAGTGATATGACAAGCTGCTGCTTTATTAATGTCGCCCCACACCTGTAAGACTTGAAATCTGTTTTCTACCTGTCCAACTTCACGCAAACCCTCCTTCTCCCTTGCTGAATACAAGCAGCCCTCAACACACGCTGCTTATCATCACGAAGGCGGCGCAGCTGGGGAGGATTATTATTTAATATATGTAAATAAATGTCTAAAAAACAAACTTTAATGTATATAAACAGTTTAGTTTTTTAGACATTTATTTTATACGTTTAATTAATGTGCCTGTGTGACAACTGGGACAAAGCTTTGACATTTTTGTTATTACTTCATGGAAAGAAAAAAATATCGAGATAAATATAATATCGCGATTTATCTTAAAATATCGAGGTATTAATTTTGGTCTATATCGCCCAGCCCTCGTCCTGTCACTGGTTTAACCGTCATGTTGAGGTTAAAGATGTTCAGATGTACTTAACAGGCCTGCAGGCTTTAAAGAGTGGCACCATGTGGACCTGCAGCTTTATTTTGGTTCCGTCTCTCCACCAGCTACGTCTTCACCCGACAGCTGAAGACACAAGTTTTCAGTGTTTGCCAAACCTGTGATGCAGCTTGTTGGTTCTGTCCAGACTTCCATCAGTCCCTTTTCACTGTCAAACCTCTGTTTTCCACTCCGACCACACGTTACATGTTATTCTGCTGGAAAATGTGAATTAGGAAACGAAACATAAGCAGGGTTTGAATCCCTCAACTCCACTGCAGGTACGGTAAGAGCAACAAATAACTGACCATGACTGAAACCTTTTTTCATCTGCAACTCTGCTTTTTCGTTGAATGATCTGAATCACTAATAAGCCTAGAGTTTGACACTTCTAAGAATAGCGTGCCAACTCTTTATCTGCTTCTTTTATCTTCTTTCCTCACACCAACTGGACCAGAACCAGGCCTGCAGCACGCGGGAAGAAAACAACCTGAATATTTAGCTTGGCTTTCCAGTTCTGTGGCCTCAGACCACTAAAATGAACTTTTCAACTTTTGTCTAAGTCAACAAAAACTTCTAAAATGATGTACCCACTTTGTTTTTCTTGTGTAATCGTTACAGCGCCTCTAAAATTAGCTCCTTAACTCCCTAACATTTATATTGTTGCCAGTGAGTTATGTGAAAATGTGCGTTTGTCTGACACCATATTTCACTTCACCG